AAAGTAGTACCACCAAACTTCATGTGTGTCTCTGTTTATTTTTGTCCCCACACCGCACCAAACAATTGTTACAATTTATATTTATCCCCTTCCACTACAAAAACAATCCCTCCCACCCCCCATATATACTTGTCACCTCTATATATATCACCCTCAAAATCCCTTCAAATTATATCACATAATCAAAAAAGAAAAATAAAAAAATAAATAAAAAAAAAAGAATAATTCCCTTGATCACATTTCAATTTTCATAACCAATATTATATTATATTCTAAAAAAAAATAGAAATAAAATGGGCAACGCCGACCATAGTTACGACCCGTCGTTCAACGACAACTACTACGGCTCCGCTAACCACCGGGTGGAGATACCTCCACCGCAGCCGTTTGTGAAGTCTATTAAGAATACGTTGAAGGAGACATTCTTCCCCGACGACCCGCTACGGCAGTTCAAGAACCAACCGCCGAGGAAGAAGCTCGTACTGGGGTTTCAGTATATTTTCCCTATCCTTGAGTGGGGCCCGCGTTACACGTTGGAGTTTCTTAAGGCGGACCTCATTGCCGGGATCACTATAGCCAGCCTTGCCATACCGCAGGGGATTAGTTACGCAAAACTCGCAAACTTGCCGCCGATTCTCGGTCTTTGTGAGTACCATGCAAATTTCATATTAAATATATAAACAACCTTGTTTTTGGGTTGGGCAAACTATGCATTATAAACTAACTAAATACTTGGTAAATTCAATAATTTGTACACAAATATTAAGAGAATCATTAAATACGGCTTAGTCTTAGGAAACGACATACGATAAAGACTAAAATAGCCTTTCCAACTAAATGAAGGTGATAAAAGAGTCGGTACGGTGTTTTGAGAGAGTCGAACTAGTAAGGGTAAAATTGGAAAAATAGATACAGTATTGGAGATTTAAAGTGGCAGATAATATGAAATGAAATGAACGGCTTTCAATTTTATTCTAATAACACGAACTATATATTAGATTCGAGCTTTGTTCCACCGTTGGTATATGCTGTAATGGGAAGCTCGCGGGATTTAGCGGTGGGGACTGTGGCCGTTGGATCGCTTCTGACGGGTTCCATGTTGAGCGAAGTGGTGAGTCCGACCGATGATCCGAAACTGTATCTGCATCTTGCTTTCACGGCCACATTCTTTGCAGGTCTTTTTGAAGCATCCTTGGGCATTTTCAGGTAACTAATTAAGTAGGTTAAATAATAAATCATTTTTCTTTTCAAATTTAATATTAATAAATAAAATAATAATATTTAATATAATAATGGTGCAGGCTTGGGTTTATCGTGGATTTTCTATCGCATGCAACGATAGTAGGGTTCATGGGGGGAGCAGCGACGGTGGTTTGCCTTCAACAGCTGAAAGGAATACTTGGACTTGACCATTTTACCCATGCTACCGATATCATCTCTGTCATGCGTTCTGTTTTTACTCAAACTCATAGCGTGAGTAAAATTTCAATTTTTTATTGCTCTTATTTACTTATTTACCCCCGGCCCATTCAATTTTTTACCATGCATTATTGAATTAAGTAGATCTATATATTATTATAATCAATTATCATTCAAGTTTTATTAAAATGTTTCTAAGTTTAGATCTCAAAAGCAAAAAAAAAAAAAGTTTATAATTTAAATATATTTTCTTCCTAATTATTGAAATCTCAAAAAATGAAATTGACAAATTTACCCTTCGAAAGACGCGGTTATTTCTATTTACTTCCAAAATTTTAATTAATACCCAAATCACCAAATGAACCAAACACCTTATGGTTCCAACACGAAGACTTTTCATTGCTACTGATCGACTAAATAATAGGGGTTAGTAACACTTTTTGTTGGTAAGATTCAAATCAAAGTCCGACATTAAATTCTACTATTTTCATTAAATTAGTAACACACCTCCACCCCTGAGATTAATTTAATAGGGCTATTTTATCATTCGGACCACATGTTAGTTTTATTAAACGAAATATTTTATAGACAAATCACATATAATACCAGAATTTAACATATGTAGTACAAGATCTAACCTAATGAACCGATCATCTTACTAACTAAATAATAAATTAGTCAGTAGAGAATTAATTTCAATCTCATCCAATCCAATCTAGTCAGGTATAGGTAACCGAACAAACCCCTAATAATAAAGGGGATATCGAAATTTTTAATGCTTAATTAATTTAATTAAATGGCGATAGAGTCAGGTTTATATCTTTTTCTCAACCTTAGCCGACCATTCGGACAGCCATCGAAATCTTTAACTACTTTATTCAATTGAGAAAACAATATATGCCATACATTTCCGGTTTTGCCACTGCAATTACGTACATGCTTCTCCTTGCATTAAAATATATGCCCCATGCTTAATTAATTTCCATGTTATCCAAAATAATTGGTCTGAGGAAGCTCGATGCCCGGGGGGCCGGTTCTGAGGGAAGGTAAAATAGGCGGTCGCCTAGGCACCCTCGAAATAATCTCAGAAACTATACTTGTATTTTCTTGATAAAACCAAGAATTGATATAACAACTTTATTAAATATTTCATTCTTCATTACTGATGGAAAAACCCTATATTGCCCCTTACGAACTTTAAAGAAAGATCAATTAGTGGTATAGATTATACAAGGTAAAATTGGTAATTAAAAGTTAAAACATAATTAATTTTATCTTGAAATTCTAAACCGACACTTCATATGTGAAGAAAAAAATATGACCACATGTCATGACACTTATTTTGGCACGGAGGAAGTACATTGCATATAGAGTACTTTATCCTTATTCTTTTATGAAGACCAATTATATTGAAATATACTTTTTTCGAGTTTATTACATTCATCACCCTTATATATATCTTAATTACAAGAAAAAATAATCTTCGGATTATATTCTTATTGGAATTGCCCATATCTGGCTCATCCTTCAGAACCCTATCACACCTTGAATTTAATAAGATAGGATGAATTGAGACAGTATTTTGCAAATACGTAATTATCTTGAATATATTAACTAGTTCTTTATTTTCGGATCCCCTGGAAGCGACAAAAGAAAGATCTTATTGTTTCTTCAGCAATTTCTGATCTCTAGTGAACCTCTCATTAGGATTCAATCCCAACCCAGATGAAGTTCTGAATCATAAGAGAATTTTTACTAATACTAAAATATGGGTAGCTTGTTAACAATTTAATATAACAATTAAAATAAACTTAAAATTTATTTGCAAAAGTAGATCCTGCATCAATAGTAAAATTGTGTAATGAAATAAAAAAGTGACATTTTACTATGCTATATATATAATTGGCAGTGGAGATGGGAAAGTGCTGTTCTGGGATGTGTGTTCCTTTTCTACCTGCTGCTCTCCAGATACTTTGTAAGTGAATAATAATTGATATACAATAATTTAAATATTTATTATATATAATTGAATTTAATTGAGTCATTAATGCACATGAATTAATTATATATAATTACTAATTAATGATATTTAATTAATATGCAGAGCAAAATGAAGCCAAAGTTGTTCTGGGTATCTGCAATGGCTCCATTGACATCTGTAGTATTGGGAAGTCTTTTGGTCTATTTCACCCATGCTGAAAAACATGGTGTCCAAGTGGTAATTAATTTTATTTATTCTTACATGGTGTTGACATTTGAATAATGAACGACAACGACGCGGTTAATTAAATTAAATATTTTACATGTAGATCGGAGATTTGAAGAAAGGGATAAATCCGGCATCATTAATGGATCTCAACTTCGACTCGCGGTATCTTACCGGAACAATCAAGACCGGCATTGTCACCGGCATTATAGCTCTCGCTGTAAGTATATATTATAGAGTTTATTGTAAAATTATGAGTTGTTACTCTGCATGTGTTATATCGAATTGCTAACAAACTACCGTGTCCTGTGTTAAACTATTGATAAAAACCACCCTATAATTTAATTTTCTTTAGCAATTAGTACCGTTTGGGAGGACACGCTGTCGTTGTGTGCTAAAAGCAATTGAATCGGAGAATTTTGCTAATAAAATAACATGGGTAGTATTTTAGTAATTTTACATAACACAAGTGTACTAATTGCAATAAACCCGAATATTATATATTAAAGAAATTATTAATTGTCGTGTATGTGGTGATATGTATGTACCGTAGAACCTCGATAAATTAATAATCTCGCTTAAATAGTAATCTTTTTTTGTCTCGGACTCGGTCAAAAATGCACTAAAATTATTAATTCGACAAACTAATATTTCGCTAAATTAATAGAATTTTGCTAGTCCCGACTGTATTAATTTATAGAGGTTCAACTGCATATAGGAAGGAATAGCGGTGGGGAGAAGCTTTGCCATGTTCAAGAATTACCATATTGATGGTAACAAAGAGATGATTGCTTTTGGCATGATGAATATTGCTGGTTCCTGCACTTCTTGCTACCTCACTGCAGGTATCCATATATATATATATATATATATATATATATGCATCTTGAATATTATCCGCAATGTTGCTACTATTTCACGATGATTAATTCGTGTGTTTTCGTCCCAATATTTTCGTCCCGATGTGTGTACTTTTAAAAACTAATACACACTTAATATCCAAAATCATGGACGATTTTCAATGTTGTACATAATTTCAACAGGTCCGTTTTCGCGATCGGCGGTGAACTTCAACGCGGGGTGCAAAACCGCAGTTTCGAACTTAGTGATGGCATTTGCAGTTATGATAACTTTATTATTTCTAACTCCGCTCTTCTACTACACGCCGCTCGTCGTGCTTTCATCCATAATAGTAGCTGCAATGCTCGGCCTAATTGACTACGAAGCGGCTATCCATCTATGGCACGTCGACAAATTCGACTTCCTTGTCTGCATGAGCGCGTACATCGGTGTAGTCTTCGCCAACATCGAAATCGGTTTAGGCCTTGCCGTGAGTATACAAATTAACCAATTAATTAATTCATTGATTTCGAATATTATTTTAATTGACAAATAATTTATATAATTGATTGTCTATGCAGATTGGATTATCCATTATGAGGGTGCTACTATTTGTGGCAAGACCAAAAACCTTAGTGCTCGGCAATCTGCCCGATTCTAAGGTGTACAGAAGCGTCGATCAGTATCAGAACGCAACTAACGTTCCCGGAGTTTTGATTCTCGAGATTGATTCTCCGATTTACTTTGCTAATTCGAATTACTTGAGAGAAAGGTATAACTCATAACAAATTATATAATTAATGACCTAATTAATTTCAAATAAATTTGATGTTTCTGTAATTATATTATCGATTCAGAATCTCGAGATGGATCAATGACGAGGAAGACAAGTTAAAATCATCGGGAGAAACAGTCTTGCAGTATGTTGTACTCGACATGAGTGGTGAGTAATTAATTAATATATAAACTTTGACGTACACCGTAAAAAAAATGTAGAAATTAATTAAAGTAACGAAAATCGCAATTATAATAACGTTTCAAATATCTCCGTTTGCAGCCGTTGGAAACATTGACACGAGTGGTATTAGTATGCTCGACGAGGTTAAGAAGACCGCAGATCGGAGAGGGCTCAAGGTTTGTTTTTATTGTTTACATTCTTCTGCCAAAATATTTTATGTCTAAAAATTAGTATATATTACGAGATCATACGGCTGAATTTTTTTGTTCGTTTTTTTATCGAATGCAGCTAGCATTGGTGAATCCGGGGGCAGAGGTAATGAAGAAGCTGAACAAGTCGAACTTTCTGGAGAAAATAGGGCAAGAATGGATATTTTTGACAGTTGGAGAGGCTGTTGGAGCATGCAATTACATGCTTCACAGTTGCAATATTGAATCACAAAAGCATAGCAACAATATAGTGTGATCACATATATATAGTACTAGTTCATGGATATGATGTTTGGATCAAATTGCAATGTCGTTTAGTTTGGTCCGGTTATAATTAAATCAATTCGGTCCGGTTATAATTAAATAAATTGCAATGTTTAGTTTTGAAATCTTGTATGTATGCTGGTTAATTAATCGCATGTGCTTAAAACCATGGTAGTTAATCTCGCGATATACCGCGATATATATCGCGATACGGTACGGTTCCAATTAAAACGATACAACTCGGGTTCTGTATCGCTTATTGATAAATACCGTCAAATATCGCGAGATATCGTACCGTATCGCCGTATCACGATACGATACGATATTTACGATATTAGTCGACAATTAAAAAAAAAAGAAAAAAAGAAAAAAAACGGAAGAAATGCAATCAACTGTTCTGAAAAACGGTTTTGAATAAATTTTTTCAATATCCCAATCCTATTTCACACTTTTCTCTTCAAATTTCTTCACCAATCTTCATAATATCGCAACCCTAATTCAATATATATATGGATAGAAAAGACCTTTTTAAGGTCTTTTTACTGAGTTTTGCGATTGATGATGATGAATCGTTTAAAATTGGTAGATGAGGATGACTTAAGTGACATTGATCTTCAAAATTATGAGATATCGAATATTTTAGAAATTAGTTATTTGAATTTGTACTTGGGCCCATTTGGCTAAGCTTCTTTTGAACAACTGATAAGATGTTTTAAGAGTTGATAAGTTGCTACATCTTACTTTTAAAAATATTTTTTTCAAGTGTTTGGATAGTGATCTTACAAATTATTTTTACTCATTATAAGATCTTAAATAAATAGGCGGGGTAAATATACTTTAAAAAAAATTATTTGCTCTCCTCCAGCAGCTTATAATATTTTGAATTTTTAAGATCTTTAAAAAAAATTACCTAATACACTAGAATCGCTTATAAGCTCTTAAACATCTTATAAGTTATTGTTAACATCTTATAAGCCTAGCCAAACACCCTCTTAGATGATGTTATTTGATAAAATAATTATGATTTTTGTCATATTTTATAATATGATGTTGAAACTTGAGTTTATATTTATTTCGAAATAAATAGTTGTATTAAATTTTACATGTTTATAATATTTTTATAATATAGATATGTATTTTTTACTATTTTAATAGTTGGTTAAATATCTTACGATACGATACGATAACGATACGGTACGAGATGTGGAGCAAAACGATACGAGATATTTTTACGATCCTTAAAACCAACCAAGCTGCTTGACACTGTTGATTTATATGCCTATGTTGCGGCCGGAATGAATATTGGATACACAATCCGCCGTTCTCTCCCTTACTTTTATCGGCAGAATGCTTATCTCTCCCCTGTTTTTCTTCAATGTATCTTGGCAAATTATTCGGAGTTTTCAGTTTCCGTGAAACACGAGTGATTTTGTGGATTCCTATTTGAGATATTGGCTTAACTCTTTCTACGAGTTAATGCTGATTCCTCCAAGAGATGAATCATACTTGAGAGGTTAGGGTTTGTGTCTTGGGCTTGTTTCGATCTATACCGTGTGTTTGATTCGAAGTTTGTGGCAAGTGTTGGAGGCGCCATTTGGATCTTCGGACAGATGCCCGAGTATAGAAATATTCTAGTTTGTTAACGCACTAAAATTCATGTTTTAACTAGTTATCTGTTATAACATAAATTAGTTTGCATTGACAATTTATTGTTTGTAAAGCAAACTAAACGTGGTTCAGATGTAAATGTACCATACATTCATGAATAGTAACTGCAAACAAGATATTACTAGTTCGGATTTACGTGTATACTATTTGAACTTAGTTAAAATAGTGAAGACTTTCTTTATCTTTATGTCTTTCTTGTAAAATACTTGAATATTGTGTCTTTACCACAATCGCTCCTCAATCCGCACTCTTGAAATCCCTTCAATGCTGAAATGCTTTCAAACGGTGGACCAACCTTTCCCGAGATCTTTTAAATATTTCTTTTTAAATGCCGGTCTTCTTTGTGGCTTTATTGCAACAGATACCAAAACAACGGGTCGTTATTCACAAGAGTGTATATTTACCTAGTGCACCTGTAGTTAGATGTGAATTCCTTCATTGCCAATTTCTTTTTTTTTTTTAATTGACAACCTCACACCTAAAGTATATGGATCTTTGTGAGCTACAACTCATAGCATTCGTTTTCAACAAACAAATTTTATTAACCATGCTCGCATAAACATGAAAAAAAATTAGTTCATGAATATAATTTACATTAAAATCTCTAAAAGATATGGACTAATTAATTTTCTAATAGAACATGGAAACAAATCAATGACAGCCTAGCATGCCCCACAAGGGGTGGCCTAATAGCTGGAGCAAGGAAACTTGGAACAGTTAACCCAAATTCGAATTTTCTTGCTAAAGGTCTCTAGTTCGAGCAAAGTTTTCTTCCTTTCCGAATGCCATTAGCTTGAGAAAAGTTTTCTTTCTCTCTTAACGTCATGCTTCCAGTTAATCGTTCATCCTCATATCCTATGGCATTACTTCTAGCTAATCTTTCTTCTTCTCCTAATAGCATTAACTTCGAGCTAAGTTTTCTTTCTTTACTAGTGACTTTAGTTTCGAGCTAAGATTTCTGCCTATCCTAATGGCATTAACTTCGAACAAAACTTTATTTCTCCTCTAATGACATTAGCTTCCAGCTAAACATTCATCTTGTCCTAATGCCATTAGCTTCGAGCTAAACTTTCCTCATCTCCTAATAGCCTTATTTTCGAGCTAAGCTTTCTTCCCCCCGTAATGACATCAGCTTCGAGCTAAACTTCCCTCCTCTCGTAATCACATTATCTCCAAGCTAAGATTTCATCATCTCCTAATGATATTAGTTTCGAGATACGATATCTTCCCCTCCTCATTAGCTTTCCACAAATCTTTCTTCATCTGTTAACGGCATTAGCTTCGATCAAAGATTTCCTTCTCTTGTAACGGCATTAACTTTCAGCTAAGCTTTTCTCATCTTCTAATGACATTAGTTTCGAGCTAAACTTTCTTCCTCTCCCAATGGCATTAGTTTTCGGCTAAGCTTTCATCCTCTCCTAATGGCATTAGCTTCGATGTAAGATATCATGCTCTCCTAATGCCATTAGCTTCAAATTAAGCTCTCTTTTTCACCCATTACATTAGCTTCGAGCAAAGCTTTCTTTCTCTTCTAATGGCATAAGCTTCAAGAAAAGCTTTATTCTCCTTCTTCTACTGACATTAGGTTTGAGCTAACCTTTCTTTTTTTTCCTAATGATATCAACTTTGAGCTTAGCTTTCTTCTTTTCCTAATGGCATTAACTTCGAGCTAAATTTTATTCATATCTTAATAGAATTAGCTTTGAGCTAAGTTTTTTTCCTCTCCTAATTACATCATCTTCAAGCTAAGTTTTCTTTCTCTCCTAATGGCATCAGTAAGATTTCTTCATCTTCTAATGGCATTATCTTGAAACTAAGTGATATACCCCATTGGGCCATCACAATAGGCCCAAAAATATAGCTCATCTACAAATAATTTAGCTAATGGATTAATCTGATTAGTTTAAACCTACAAGCCTATCAAGGTATTTAACTCAAATTAGAGTTATGCTCTAATTGAGATTCTACCACTAATTAATTATAAATAAGACCCATGGCTCATTATTAAGGGCGAATTTGATATAGATCCACAAATTCAAGTGTCACTACAAATAGCCCCACCCTTTAACTTTTATTTGAAATAAACCCACAATAACATTAATTCTCAAAATGGTCCTACATATTTCTATTTCAGATAAGCCCAACCCACCCCCATCCCATCCCACCAGCCCACCAGGCCGGTTTGACCCGGTCAGTTTTTTTTTTCGGCTGGTCGTCGGAATTCTAGTTAGCTAACTCAGTATTAGTTAATTTAAACAATCCATTTTTTTCGGCCGCAGGTCGTCGGAGCTCTGATTAGTCAACTCAACATTAGTTAACTTTAACATTGACATAAATCTTTTTTCGGCCGCGGGTCGTCAGAGCTCCAATTAGTTGACTCAGCATTAGTTAACTTCAACATTAGTTAACTTTGAACAATCCATTTTTTTTTTCTTTTTTCCTTTTTTTCTTTTTTTTTCTTAATTTTTTTTTTCCGTGGTAGGTTTTTGGAGCTCCGATTAGCTGACTCAGCTAACTAGAGCTTCGATGATCCGCCGTCATAAAAGAAAAAAATGGAATGTCAACTAACGTTGAAGTTAACTAATGCTGAATCAGCTGACTAGAGCACCGATTACCCCCCGCCGAAGAAAAAAAAGATAAACGAAAAAAATGAATGTCAACAAATTGAAGTTAACTAATGTTGAGTCAGCTAACCAGAGCTCCGAGACCCCCCGCCGGAAAAAAATTAAAAATAAAAGAAAAAAGATAAAACAAAAAAAAATGAATGTCTACTAATGGAAGTTAACTAATGCTGAGTCAGCTAACCGAAGTTTTGATGACCCACTACCGGAAAAAAAAAAAAAGTTAAAATAAAAAATAAAAAGATAAAACAAAAAAAAAATGAATGTCAACTAGTTGAAGTTAACTAATGCTGAGTCAACTAAGTGGAGCTCCGACCACCCAAGCCACCGCTGGAATTTTTTTTAAAATAAATAAATAAAAATAATAATAATCAAAATAAAATAAGGTAAGATAAGATAAAAAAAAAACTTTAATTAGGGTTTGAAAGGGTAAAAAGGGTATAAGCTAATTATTTGGGTTTATATCAAATAAAACTTAGAACTAATGGTTTACTAAGAAAAATTAAAAAAGCCTCAGGGAGCTATCTCAAATAATCCCACTATAAAGCTATATTCTATTGTCTAGCCCTGTGATACGACCAATCACATGGAGAAATAGAGTTGGGATAGAATAGCAATTGCTCTGAGTTATTTACTTCCGTATTGTTTAGCCTAGTATTTATCTTTTATTGTTTAGTTAATAGTTATCCTTTTCATTAGGTTTCCTAGATGCATTAGGATTCTATTTGGTTAGTATTTATAGGAGTACATAGGTTTAGATTTATTTATGCAGAATAATAAAACTCTTTTCTTAGTCTTTTCTTGCAATTTGCGTAGAAAACACTGTCGATACTTTTGAGATCGTACCAATTGGTATCAAGAGCGAAGTTGAGATAACATTAAAAGCTCCGCTACGATCATGGCAACGAACAAAGAAAGATTTGATAGGCTGGAAAACTCGGTACAAGAGATCCAGGCGTCGATGCAGCAGATGCAGCGGTTTCTCGAACAAGGTCATGAACGGCAAAACCCGTGGGGGAGAAGGAATGCTCCGTCTCCACCATCATCAGGCGATTCGTCTGGCAACAAAAGTGAGGGCAGTCGTGCATCTAATGCTTCGATTAGGAGTCGGACATCAGGACGCGGCGAACGTGAAAGGCGGCGTACCCATGTAAAGATGGATTTTCCGAAGTTCAGCGGTGAAGAGCCTCGAGTGTGGCTCAACCTTGCGAAGTAATTCTTTCTGGCCAATGATCTGCACGGCCACAAGAAAGTGATGCTTGCATCATATCATCTGGAGGGAGACGCCAACCAGTGGTGGCAATGGTTCGAACGAGCGAATCGGGGTAACCAGATCTCATGGGGGCAATTCGAGAAGGGTATTCTACTGCGCTTTGGCCACGGTGACAATGGAGACCCAAACGAATCGATGTGCCGGCTAAGGCAGTAAGGAGATTTTCGAGGATACTTGGGGGATTTTGAGCGTTTGATGAATTATCTACCGTGTTGGTCGGAAGAGGCGCTCATGGGTGCGTTTATGGCAGAGCTTCAAGAGGAAATAGCAGGTGACGTACGGCTATTCAGACCCAAGTATTTACAAACAGATATTGAACTAGCCAAACGAAAAGACGAGCAGCTGCAAGTTGGAAAGAAATCGGGAGGTTGGACGAGCCCAGTCACGACGATAGCAGCAGAACGAGAATCAGTTAGTTCTGGGACTCAATGACTGACTTGGGACGAGTTGCAACAACAACGCGAGAAAAATTTATGCTATAATTGTGACGAGAAGTTTGTCCGAGGCCACCAATGTAAAAAAAACGCAAGCATTGTTGATTGAGATTGACGGGTTGGGAGCCGTAGGCGACGAAAAATTTGAGGAAGAAGCCCGTATTTCCTTAAATTCATTAGAAGGCGAGGATGGAGTGTCGACGATGCGTTTGATGGGCATGCTTAAGAAAGAGCCGGTTGAGATATTAATTGACAGCGGGTCGAGTCTAAATTTTATTTACCTGAACTTGGCTGGTCGATTACAGATGCAAGGTAATCCAACTAAACCACTCTCAGTTAGAGTGGCGAACGGGAAAAAATTAGAGTGTCAAGATGAATATGAGTTGAATGAGATAACGTTGCAAGGTTACGACTTCAAGACCACTCTATTTGCTTTACCAATAAATGGGTCGGACGTGGTACTTGGTATCCCTTGGCTCGAGAGTCTTGGACCAATGTGGATTGATTACCGTATGAGAACGATGAAGTTTAATGTCGGGGGTCGAGAATACCACATACAAGGATGAACGAGGGGCGAAATCAATTTAATTGATTCACTAAAGGTCGAGATATGGAGTGAGAGAGGCAAGGTTCCGGCGAAGAATTTTCTGAAACTAAACCTTGAGGTCAAGGTTTGCTTTGAAGGGAAAGAGAATGATACGACCAATCACATGGAGAAATAGAGTTAGGATAGAATTGCAATTGCTTTGAGTTATTTACTTACGTATTGTTTAGCCTACTATTTATCTTTTATTGTTTATTTAATAGTTATCCTTTTTTTTTTAGGTTTTCTAGATGCATTAGGATTCTATTTGGTTAGTATTTAAAGAAGTACATAGGTTTAGATTTATTTATGTAGAATAATAAAACTATTTTCTTAGTCTTTTCTTGCAATTTGTGTAGAAAACATTGTTGATACTTTTGAGATCGTATCACCCTCATACCTAGAACTTGTATTGATTTTTCTAGTCATCTGCTTGCTTAGACAACTTATAACTTGAGCATTGTAGGAGTTTTCATCGGATCAAACCACGGCTTAGTTCACGTGTCTTAGTTTTGCAGGGTTGAGACTCAGGTGTTCATCTTTACATCAGGGACTCCGATGTCTATCACCTACGCGCGTGCAGTGACCTATCCTCACGTTCTTGTTCTATCTACCCAAGGTTAGTGATACGATATCCCTAAGCTTTTTTCATGTCCTAATGACATTAGCTTCGAGTTTAGATTTCTTCATTTGTTCATGGGATTAACTTCAAGTTAAGATTTTGTTTTCCTTTCCTAATGACATTAGTTTCGAGCTAAATTTCTACCATCTCGTAATGGCATTAGCTTCGAGCTAAGTTATCCTCTTCTTAGCTTCAAGATACGACCTCATTTTCTCCTAATGGCATTAATTTCAAGCAATACTTTCTTTGTCTCCTATGGCATTAGGAGGAAGAAAGACTTCTTCACCGATTTTAACCACTAGCTAGTCTCGTCCACCCAGTTAGAACAGTACGTCATACATCTCTATCTATTGATTTGATGAACATCTTTATCTACATTTTTCAGTATATACAGTTCGTTCCATTTATAAATGGGGACATGTAGTTAAACTGCCTCCCTTGTGAATACTCATCCTACAATAAATAACGCAGATAAATCAATTAAAAACAAACCCCCAAGATCTATCTACCAAATCAAATCCCCCAAAATATCTCTACCAAATCAATTATTCCCCTAAACATCTCGCTTCCCAATTTTAACAAAAAAAAAAAAAAAAGAAAATCAATTTGTTGAAAAAAACATCTAAACCAAAATTCCAGATACTCATAAAACCACCACTGCGGCCTATGACTTCGCCAAATGTAAATAACAAACTGTAAATATAATTTGCATTATTCAATTGCAAACAACAAGCTACCTATGACTTCTCCAAATACAAAAGGCAAACAGAAAAAATAATATAATGTGCATCATATATTGCAAAATCGATTTTGCTAATTTACATTCATTTTGTTGTTTGCTATTTGCTGAAGTAATAACTAATTTGATGTTGGATTATCATTTTGCTATTACAATTTACATTTTGCAATTGTAAATTTATTTTACAATTTTAGTATCGAAAACGAATGTAAAATATCAAAACTGAATTTGAAATAACAAAATTGAATTGAAATTTGCATTATGTTGTTCAAAATTATAATTTGCATTATATTGTTGAATTTATAATTTGCAGAGAGAGAGAGATGTGAGAGGGGAGAGATAAAGAGTGATATGTTGAATTTGTTCCATTAGTTTTACATAAATAATTTTCAAATAAATATTACTCGAGGGCATTTATGTAGATATATAAATAATTAAATTTAACTTATATAAATTTTGTTAGTCAAGGGACACTATTTAATCTAACAAAATGAATTTTCAACTTGTATAAATACCAAAATAAGGAAGGAGTGTTGAGCCAATTTTCAGAAGAAAAACTCAAATGTGGACATAGTTGACTTTGAATAAATAAAGGACAAAATGTCATCCAAAGCAAGAAACTTTGCTAACCTTAGCCAAATCATCATATTATCTCTCCTCCCAATACTTGATGGGAACAAATTAATAATGACAAACTTTAGAAGTAAACAAGAAAAGAAATCATGACATATCTAATTATTCTAATTAAAGAGGAAGTAATGTGTGCTTTTTGTCTCTAATTGATGATGTAATACTCTGCATGCATGTGTATAGCTAGGCTGATTATATATAGTCAATAATCCTATGATATAATTGAATAATGCTTTATAAAATATATATATAGAGGTGTGTGTGGGCCTAACAGCAAAAAAAAATGGGCATAAATAACAGCTTCATGATGATCATCATCTCTTCCACTTTGTTACTTTAACCCTTTAGTCTTTACCACCATGCATACATATCTATATATATTTAAAGTTTTATTCATTTATTTATTTATTTTTAAGATAGATTTTACAATATAATTCTTGGTTTAAGAGTCCCTACTTTTAATAAATTAAATCATTACATCCAAATGAATGCCCCTTTTTAGGATTTGGGTGTTTTGTAACAGCAACAAAAGTACATGGACACAAAAAGTACTAATGACTGTATTTTGTAAGTATATATTTTTCATGCATTCTTGCTTTTCACTTATTTACTTCAACCAATCAACTAAAAACATTATGTAATGAATTGAAAGAGATCAAATCTCTCTCTCTCTCTCTCTCTCTCTCTCTCTCTCTCTCTCTCTCTCTCTCTCTCTCTCTCTCTCTCTCTCTCTCTCTCTCTCTCTCTCTCTCTCTCTCTAGAATTCTTATAACAAACGTTGTTTCCTGGTGTTTGGTGCCATTTTCTATCTGGGGTTTTAATTTATTTATAATTGATCAAATTTGGATTGGCCTAGCTACTGTTATTTGCAGACATGTTCAGAGAAGCAATATTCGATGGTAATTATTAATTACATTACATTATTTAAGACACACTATTACCCTTCATCACTCCTTCACACATATTTTCCTCTCCTCCAGATTCTTGATATATAGTAAGCACAATTTAAATTTCAAAATTAAAAAGGAAAAAAAAGTAATGTATTTTTTTTTTTTTGAAAAATACATTTTGAAATATATAGATGAGTAGTGAGTGACACATGTAATGGAATGGGATGAGTGCTTAGTTGTATCCAACAGGTAGGATTTATATTCAGCTCATTTTTCTGTCTGGTTTTCATACACCTGTTCCCTTCTTTTTTAAGGGCTTTTATGAAGGGTTTGTTACACCCAACAAACACTCACTAGCTAGGATTTCTTTTTTTTGTTGTTGTTTCTGCTTTTTTATTTCTCTCCCATCATGTTTCCTGCAGTTCTCTCCAATTCAATCTCCGACGACTCTTTCCCCGCCTTCAACCACATGTTCCTCCACAAACCCCCCTCAGTTTCCGACCAGCCGCCCCCGCCCCCACCGGTTCTCCCCAAGAAGAAGCGTAACCTCCCCGGAAATCCAGGTCTTTCTTCATCATATCCTTATATCTCATTTTATTTTATTTTATTTTATTGAATTCCGAATAATTTGTTTTTATATATATACATATGAGGATGGATCCAGACCCTGATGCAGAAGTGATTGCTCTATCGCCGACGAGCCTTTTAGCGACGAACAGATTCGTGTGCGAGATCTGCAACAAGGGTTTCCAGAGGGATCAAAACCTGCAGCTCCACAGGAGAGGCCACAACCTACCGTGGAAGCTCAAGCAGAGAAATGGCAACGAGAATCGGAAGAGAGCGTATGTTTGCCCCGAGCCGACTTGCGTGCACCACCACCCGTCTAGGGCTTTGGGCGATCTCACCGGCATCAAAAAACACTACTGCCGCAAACACGGCGAGAAGAAATGGAAGTGCGAAAAGTGCGATAAGATCTACGCCGTCCGGTCCGATTGGAAAGCCCACTCAAAGACCTGCGGTACCCGAGAGTACAAATGCGACTGCGGTACCCTTTTCGCTAGGTAACATTTATCCTTTCTTTCTTTCAATTCTTCGTCTCGATTATTTTTTTTAAAAGAATTAATTTTTTTGTTAAAAGAATTGTTTTTGAAAAAAATAATTAAAGTGGAGGAAGCGTTTGCACGAGGGTTTGTTTGGTTGTATACTTGAACTTGTTATGGGATAAAAGATGTAGTCCTGCACAAAACAATGATGGATTTACAGATGAAATTAATAGTACTTGTATATATATATATATATATATATATATATATATATATATATATATATATATATATATATGGCAATAAGGGTTGTGTCATTATTTTGCGACCGGACTGTAAAATTCTAATAAATCTGCAAAGAACGTCATCATGTAACAAGGTAGGGTTGTTTTCGTAGCCTCTGCACCAAAAAGTACGGTACAGTGTAGCATAAGATTTTGTGACTTGCTCATCATTCATACAATTAACACTCTTTCTCTCTCTCTCGTTAAAAAATAATTGTACCGTTGTTACTGTCCGTAATGATGGTTTAGTTGGTAGAGTTATAAGGAGTCAATTGCCCGGAACTTGTGTAATTTATAATTCTGGTGTGGTCTATCCAATATACATATGTGGTTGACTGGTTCCGCCCAGAACTTGTTTTATACTTCTGATGTGATTTATCCCAGTACACATATATGGTTGCGTGTTGGTTTATTTTATTAAAAAAAAGAAAAAAAGGGAAGGAAAGTGAAAAGGAAAAAGAAACAAAAAAGCTTTGGTCATTGGGAAAAAGATTCCTGTAAAACTTTTTAGCCAGCTATGAGTGGTTTGTCTTACCTCATTTTTGCATGCAAAAACATTTTACATTTGTCATCTCTCTCCCTCTATGAACCGCCGGTTAATATTCCATTTAATTTAATTTTTTTTTTTTCGAATTAAATTTAATGAAATAGTAATTATGAAAAATTAATAATAATAATACACTAATTAAATGGTACAGGAAGGATAGCTTCATCACACATAGGGCATTTTGTGATGCATTAGCCGAAGAAAGCGCCCGGCTCTCCGCAGCCGCAAACTCCACCGCCGGCCGCCACCACCAGCCGAGCTTCCATTTCGTCAACCCACAAAATTCTCTACCGCCGCCGCCGTCGCCACCACCACAGCCGCCGTCTTTCGTCCACTTCTCGTCGTCGCACAACCGCCACT